AAACTGTACCATTGTTTCCGGTCAGACTGTCCATTGTTTATTGCTCTTCCCTTGGCTTTTATGCCACCATGCCCACTATATATATATATATATATATATACATACATACAGTGGGCATGGTGGCATAAAAGCCAAGGGCCGAAGGTGTATGTATAACGAAGTGAAAAACTCACGGTGAAAAACAACAAACAGCGGAAGTTTAATCGACAGTTTCGCCGAGAGACTCGGCTTCGTCAGGAGATGACATTCAAGTGAGGGGATATCGCAGCGGCAAAAAAGTTCAAAAAAAGAGAGAGAAAGGGGGGGGGCGGGTGTACGCGTTTCCAGATGACAAACAACTTGACCTGTATATATATAAGCGATGGAGCAAGAATCAACGGTACAGAACGAAAGAATTCGTTGGAAACTGCTTCACTATATGCCACTATATACAGGGTGAATTTTTTTTTTAATTCGAACAGATTTATATATGTATATACATACATGATTGCAGTGCCGTAGCCCGAAATATTTTTCAGTGGGGGGCGGGTGAGGGTTGAGGGCGTTGGGATGATCATGTCTTGGGTGCGGAGGGGGGAGGGGGTGTCAAAACGCGTGCGTTAAATACAGCGTAGGCTGTATTTCAGGGGACGGCGAGGGAAAGCTAAAACTCCAAGAGCCCCCCCCCCCCCCCCTCCCCTGGCTACGCCAATGATTCACTTTGTCTCCTTAGTCGTTGCGGTAGCGCTTTGATGAGACCTGTTTTTCACACTTTTTTGTTGCTTCGCTGCAACTTGCTCTCTTACTCTAAAACGCTTACAATCCAACAGGAAAGCACTAAAACGAGTTTTAAGTGCGTTGAATATAACCTTTTCCATCTGCCTCATGTCCTGACCACAATGCACTTGAGTGTGGTGACGACCGGTTCCGTGCGCTGCGACAGGTTGTGTATGGCCATACTCTCGATTGGAGCTTGTACGTCGTGCCGCAGCCATGCTTAGCGACTGAGTCAGCGAGAAATGAGTGATGGGCTATAGGTGTCTATGCCACAGGGTTTCATTCGAAAAATGCTGGAAACACGACCCTGTTCTTACATAACAAACAATATGCTTCTTAGCGATGGAGCAAGAGTCAACGATACCGAACAAATAATTCGTTAGAAACTGATCCAACTGAACTACTATGTACCTGGCAATTTTTTTTTTTTAATTTGAACATATTTATTACAAAAATCCGTAAAAGATACACTAATACGGTTTGTGCAGGTTAGTTATACGGCCGGGAGGACATTAGGTGAATGGCTAATTTTTGCGATAAGTCGGCTGATTAAGTAAAATTAGTCAATTAACGTTTCACTTTGTGAAAATAGAGATATGATTCTAATCACGGATGGGCAAAACACATGCAAATCTGTATCCAAATACAAATACAAAATACTTCGTCAAAAATGTATTTAATTACAAATTTAATTACATTTACAAAAAGTATTTAAGTACAAGATACAGATACAACCAAATGTATTTGGTCTCCTCCAAATACTTTTCCAAATACATTCCTCAAAATTTGCGTCAGCGACTTCAGGGCACCTGCAACAGGTTTCTGGGTATCTAATTTGAATTTTGCATCGCACACTCGGCAGTTAGTGTGCGAGGCTCTCCTCTAGTAACGTAATAGAAATATAATCACAAAAAAAATGTAATCAGCTTGGACGTAATGGGTGAAAAAAGTACAGAGCTTCAAGCAGTTTTTTTGTCGATTACATTTTGGTATAGACCAACAAAGAACCGAGACGACCAAGATGCGCAGCCCTAGCTAGAGAACTTTTTTATTGTTGCAACTCGCACCAATTACGAAAATCTGGACAACCCGCGCATTTTGAAAGTTTCAGGCAAACATATTAATGGAAATCAGGCTGGAAAGCACCACAAGTTGTCACAGGCACTTATTTAGGCAGACTGCCTGTGAACGTCGATTTTGTCACTATTCTTGCCCTGGACTGGCACCGTAATCACAAAGTCACTATACGCTTGTGCTTCATTGAGAGACACTGCATTCGGTGCAGAACGTAGTTTTCTTCCTCCTCTGGACAGTGACAATAAATTTGAGGGATGTATTTTCGCCCACAAAATTGTATTTAATTAGAATTGTATTTGAAATACCCATGTTTTAGTATTTAAATACACACGTCAAATACATTACCCGATTTGTATTTAAATACAAATGAAAAATAGACAAAATATATGAAATACTGCCCATCCCTGGTTCTAATTAAAACCTTAAGGACCGTAATCGAAAATCACTAAGTGAAGTCTTTTTAGCACGATTTGAATCTCGTGAGAAAGTCGGGGGCGCACCAAAGCTACGGCTCGTGAAGCAGGCGCAAAAGTAGCAGTGGCGGAACGCGGTAATTATCTAATCATCCGGATTCCGCCGCTGCTAGTTTTGCGCCTGCTTCACAAGTTGTAACAGTGGCGCTCCCCCGAATTTCTCCCTACTTTAAGTCGTTCTAAAAAAAGTTGATTTTGTGGTTTTCGATAAGTTTCAAAGTTAATTTTCAAATCTGAACCATATGTCTACTTTCACTACTTAAAACCTTAAATAACGAATTATAATTATTAGCCTACTTATGACAGAGATTAGCCAGTCAGATATTGTCCCCTTGGCCGTATACTCACCTGCACAAACAATATTAGTGCATGTTTTACAAATTTGTTATAATAAAACTGTTCGAATAAAAAAATATCGCCGTGTATACAAGAACTAGGGAGGAACGAGTAATAAATTTGGAAGGCTTCTAAAGAGTAAATTGTGTTCAAAATATCCGGGGGTGTGTTACAATTAAATAAACACATAAAAACAACAAAATACAAATACATGTTCCTGAATGGACTTGAACACAGCACTTCGCGCACCTCGTCCCGAGAGACCGACGCTCCAGTCCAATCTGCCATCATGAAGACCAAGAAGTTTATTGCAACAGGTGATTGCAAACGTCGCTTTATATTACAAATGCACTGCAGGCATTTTGAATGGCGTATTAAAAAGTGGGCATTTGAAGGAGCAGATTACACATGCCGAGCCACTCGAGTTTTGACTCCTGTGCAGAAAAAATATTTTCTACTTGCGTAAGTAAAATAAAAAAAAAACGCAATTCTCTCCAATTTGCGCCGGCATGCCTCACTGCCAAGCGTGCTCGCCATACTCTCCGAAGTTCCTAAACAAGAGACATGTCTTATGGGACATAGTCATCTCTGGTCACGCTCATGAAACAAATTCCAGCGCGACATATCTTCTATTGCTTTCTCAATGAGCCCTGGAGAACGTGTAAAAAATACAGCGTCCTATTGAATATTAAAACATGTATAATGGATTTTGGTTGTTTGCAAAAAAATACTCAGTCGCCCATGGCACACCTACGTCTCCTCCTCCAAATCACATCTTGTCAGGCAATGTATTTGCGTGAAATTTGAAGGCAACATTTCTTTACTGAGGAGGGAATGCACATACAAATAACTTGCTTCAGCACATCGTCACCAGCCTGACAAACGACTCTCAGATACAGGGGCGTTTGCAAAATACTCATCAACAAACATAGACGAAGGTTCGTTTTATTAGCCCTAGAGAGCTATTCTAAAAAAGCGGCCAGACAAAAACTCAGTGCATCCAAAACATCGTCTTGAGAACGAAAGATATTTCCTCACTGGTCGCCTCACGAGGACAACAGGGACGGCAAGTGAGATGACAGCCTTGACTGAATCAACACGCGCAAGAAAGGGTGTCTTTTATCGCGCAGAAGCACGAAACGTGACACCAGTTGACTCACAAGCAAATCTGTCAACCGCGCATTTCCGATACGCACACGATAAAAGATATTATCTAGCAACCTCGGCTTGACATTCGATCTCCAGATAAAGGTAGCAAACACTGGGTGAAACTTTTGTACGTTCATACGGGCGCAGTGTATTGCATGCTGAACGTACCACACTTTCGTAGAGAGAAACAAATTGAATACCGTCACTCAGGCGAATTTAGACTAATCACGCCTATTCTAAAGGAAATAGCTCCTGTCCAGGCCGGTGGTGACTCCCGACCAACAAGAGGTGTTAGCTCAGTAACTGTCAACCGGCACGCCAAGTTACCTGCGAGGCAGGCACTCCCAGGACACGTTTTCGAACAGTGAAGGCGTTGTGGTCTACGCTCAACGCCAAAGCCTGCGGCCCTTGCTCGAGTGTATGGCGGCCCGGTCGCCTCAGAAGAGTGTTTGGCAAACGTAATCAAAGCACTGACACTTCGCTTATGGTTTAAAATATGGAAAGTGCAATATTTTTAGCGTAACTAATAACCTTGATGTCTTTATTTTTCCACCGAAAGCTTCCACATTTTCCTTTTGAAGATTCTTAAACATAAAACTCTAAGTATAAATTCAAAAATAAGAGTAACATAAGCCATCCTTGTTTTAGAATGATCGAACATGAATCAGCTGTGTCCACTTCTTGCTCACGGTAAGCTTCGAAGTGGAGCTCTAAACGGCAATGTCGACTTCCTTCAAAATGGCATAGCCAACACTGAAACGCTTTAAAACATTGACACGAACGTCCTGCCTAAGAAGTTAAGATGTCTTGTATAAATCCAATTGCAAAATAGCCAGATGGCCCACGCCACCGTCGCAGGTTTCGAAGACTTTAAAGGCAGCATGTATATTGGTTGTAATTGATCTGTCTTGGATTTCTTACGTTCATGGGCTTCAATAAGCTGACAGTCCATACTCTGAAATCGCCGTGCTATAATTTTCGTAAATATTTGAAGGTCAGACTCTTTTTTTGCACGTCGTTTTTCAATCGCATCGGTACTCGACTCAACCGATCGAAGATGCAAAACGCTTTACAAGAAATTTCTCGTAACAGTAACGGTATTACTGTAGCAGTCTTTAAACTTCACAATCTTGATTTTGTAGCAGACAAGACATTTGCAGACTTGTTCAGTCTCAGCTGTGTCGTTCTGGATGTTATGATTTCACTCACCTTACAGTCTCCACAAGGCGTGCCGTCTGGCATGAAACGCGTAGTCCTGGTAATTTGACCTTTATCATTTGTACTTTCACATGTATATGAGCATGAAGAAAAATCAGCTAACTGAAAGAGGAAAGTTTCACATTATCTTTATAAAACACTATATTACATCTAAACGGAACCACTCGGCCAACAATTCGAATTAATTGCACTTACGAGGCGTAGTTTGCAGAATGCAAATAATTATATATAGCGCTTTCCTAGGTAAATTTGAAGCAGCACTGCATACTCATGTAACGAAGGTTCTACAACCAATTTGAACATTTTTTTATTGATGCGTTTCATTTTTGTAAGAATAAAAAACCTAGAATATGTTACTTTAGTTCTGAGATTAAATTCTTTACACAGAAGTGGCTCTGTCAAACAAAGTCACTAGAGTAAGGAAGAGACGCAGAATTTACATCTTAGCCACTTTTCAAGTGATTATGATGAAAAATAAATCGAGCCGGGTAGTGCACGTGAGTAATTGCTGTAAAACAAACTCTAAAAAAATGGCGTTAGAACGTACTTTTATCTTGAGTATTCGTCCGAGAAAAGCACTCCATACAGTCCAAGGTCTGTAATTTTCATTGTAGGGTGGCCGAGGTTTTTCTATTCTAGTCTTGGCATTTTGAGGGCGATACTGCAGTTCCCGTGTAGTTTGTATTGCTAGAGAGTTTCGCGACTGTACTATTCTCTTTCGGCTTTTTTATTTTAGTTTATGGTGTGGCGAAACCTGTATGGGGCGCTAAGATTTTCTAGCAGGTCTGGAAAGGCGCCATCAACAAATGTTCTACGTCTAATGGCAAAAAAAAAAAAAAATCATTTTAATGTTTTTTTTTTAATTTCACAAAAGTTAATAGTTTTGCGAAATAGTGTTCCTTATCAGCAGTAACAAATGCATAAATGAAATTAACGTTTACAGATGTTGTGTCTGTCCAGAATAAAAAGGAAGGAGAAAAAAGTAAACTTTCCGTGTCGACACTTTTCTGTATCAGCAACGAGGGCAAATGTAATATGTAGTACTACACATATCAAAACAAGTTCAGTGATGCGTTTTCTATACAGTGTGTTTACAATACTGAAAGCACCCATCGAGGCTTTAGCTCATTCTTGAGCCGATCCTTGGAGCAGAATTTGCCAATACCGTCATATCCATTTTACTGACATTCCACGTAACTCATGCTTTCAAGCCAGGTCAGCTGCTTACCCTGGTGCCAGCGCTAGAGCACACCCTTGTGATGTAATCTCCAAGTCCCGGACTGCATTTCTGTGCGTCATCTTTCGGTTTGTCGGCTGCTGAAATATATGCATTGCACAACTTGCACGAAAGGAATGGTATTAGATCAAAAATTAAAAGACACTTTAGAGCTCAGTAGTCTATTACCTAAAGGCTTCAATAGAGGTTGTTGTATACAACAACCTCTATTGTCCGTCCATATTTCTGGCCTTCTCCGTCACCTTTCCTTTTTTTGGAGGGGGGAGGGGGGGGGGGGGCAGGGAGAAAGAAGGAGGCGGGGGGATAGGTTTTTCTTCTGTGAGGAATACCCCAGGTAGAACGCAAAGAAAAAGCCTATCGTGACGCAAGCTTGATAATCCTGATGGCCTAGTTTGTGCCTAATGCTGTTCTGGTGCAAAGCGTGAATCAGTTTCAGCTTTTGTTTGCGTTTTTATGGTATTTTTCTGGCTCGCCGGAGAAAACCAACTCGTATACTTGCGGAGAGCGGGTTTTCGGGACTCTCCACACGTTCTCCTTTTATTTGAGGTTGCTTTGTAAGAGAGGAATCTCACTCCTTAAGATTAATGCTTTCACTCACTCAGGTTTTCCACATAATTGCCTAAGTGCCAGAAGATTAAAGTGGGGCATTCTCTCGAACCCGATATAAAAGGACGCCGCCACTAGTGCTTAAGTGTGCTTCTTGGACGACGTCAGCCAACGACAGCCGCATGCCGAAATCTTCAGTGCTCCACTAATTGTCTCGCCTATGCAACATTTAATGTTGTTCTATATTTTGGAAACCCTGTCTCCGGGTCGTTTCTTTAGGTCTTTATGCAACGAGGCAACATCCTTAAAAACTGCGCAATTTTTAGGCCCTAAAAACTAATTTTTCTAGTTGTTTTTTTAGTCTTCACTATTAAAACAAAAAATGCGGCAAAGCAAGAACTCTTCTAATTATGACTAAAGACCCCACAAACAAAGGCCATCAAAGCAAATGATGACGCGAGTTAAACGATGCAGCCTCTTGCGTACTTCGTATTTTATTTACTATTTTTAAAGTAACCACCCTCCGCCTCTACTAATCCTAATATTTTGTCCATTCACCTATCGGTCCGTTCGCTTGCCCAAGCATTTGCCGCTGAATCTGGATGGGAAAACGTCATTAGGTGACGGTCACGTGACCTAAACACAAATTCAGTTTTCTTGCTAAATCTGCCGGAAAAATGGAAGGCATCTGATAAATACATTAATTTTGTTTCCCCTCTAAATCTAGTGGGTTAATTAATGTCGCGTGTCCCATACACCTAGTCAGTTTCACCAAAAAATTTAGCTGAAAATTCGGCGCGTCGTGTGATTTATACACAACTTCAGTTTCCGCTAAGTTTAGCTGCAGAATTCATATATGGTGAATAACACACATCACCTCTCGTCACACCACAGAGTTTACACCTCCTCTCCCCTGCACCCTCCAGCTTTCCTTCCTTCTCTCCCTCCTCTCTCGTGCTGTAGCCCTACCTTCCTCCCCTTCTCTCCTCCTTCCCTCCCCATCTCTCTTCCTCTCCCCGCCTTTCCCTCTCCCCATCTCTTTCTACTCACTTCCCATCTACCTCCTCTTTTATCTCTGCCCCTGCTCTCTCTCTTTTTCTTCCTATTCATTTATCCCTCCTCCTCAGCGCCGACACTTTCCTCCCTACCCTCCCTCCTATTTCTTCTCCCAAACTCTATCTCCTTCATGCACCCTCTCCCTCACTCCACCTTGTTCCACACTTTCTCTCCCCTCCTCTTCTCACTACTACCTTACGCCCTTTACTCCATCCTCCTGCACCTTCCCTTTTTCCTCTTCGTTGCCCTTCCCCTATATCTCTCCTCTTTCCACACCTACTCCCCCTTCTCTTTTTTTACGCCCCTTCTAAACCCCTCTCATTTCCTCCCTCCTCATTGTCACTCCCAGCCCACGAAACTCCCGTTCCCTTTCTTTCCCTCTCTCAGTTTTCCCTTCCCCCTTCCGTGCCTTTTCATGGTGCAACCAACACGACCAAGCCCCATCTCATCAAAAGCATCAAGTGCTGTTGCATTACATTGTAGGAGAAGGTATGTCAAGCCAGGTGATTTCAAAAAGTGTTTCTTCAGTCTCTGAAGCGACTGTATACATTATTTTTTAGTTAACGGGTAACGATCCCTTCTTTAATACTGTTTTTATATACTGTAGGATTTTAGAGATAAAAGGTATCGGTAAATTTCCTTGTTGAAGCCAATATTGATCAAGCGAATCCTTACTCGATTAAAGTTCATGCGACATCCATACTGACAGTTCGTTTGAAAGATATCTTATGTATATACAAGTGTTACTAAAATGGATGTCAAAGAACAGTTTTATTTACTTCAGCCCAAAACTCGTCCATTTACAAGTAATCTTGCAATGCTGACCATAACTATTCAAGCCTACAACTCATCTTCCCTATACAAAATTGCGAGGTGGTACCAAATAGAACCAGTTCAGACAATCAACAATTAAAATGCATCCTTCTGTTTTTCTTGGCAATTTTATTTCTATCAAGATTAAACTTCAATATGCCACAGAAATAACTACACAATGGGTGTTCAGAGTGTTAATATATTCGTAAATAAATACAACAAACCAATATTTTTTTTCTTAACCACTAGCACTTGCCTTTTTGCAGTTGTAGGGTACCGGAAACCCATTATGCTATTTTATAGTTTTTCCCGTTTTCTATTCTGCGGTGATTACGTTAAAAACTTATCTTTATACCTTTTTGTTTTATCTTGTGATACTGGTTTGACGTGCATGTTTAAATTGATGTAAATGTAATTCTACGACTGCTTAAAAGTTTCTAATCGTCCTGTAGGTTGAAATCAACAAATGTGTAGTTAGGTCGCTTACAGAACTTTAAAATGTCTGAGGCCTCAGAAACCGTAGCCTATAGAATAATTAGTTTACCAGTGAGCTTTAAATTCATCGACAAACAAATGCGCCATGTAATGAAAGAGAAAATAAAAAATGTCGAACTATTCTTGAGCCATTGGGTTTGTCTTCGCTTTCTCTTCGCCGTCTTCTTTATATTTCTGAAAGTTTTTTTTTTTTTTGAGAAAGCTTGTTTAATTGTCTTTTGTTTTTATCGGATACGGAAAGATTTATATGCAAAACTGCTTGTGAAATAAAAAGGTCGGTATAATAATTCTCGCCTTACGTACATTTTTTAATAATATCGGACATTCACTACTTCACTCCTCAATGAGACTTTTCATTTTATGAGTTGTCATTTCTGTTTAAAAACAACTACAACTTTTTTTTATAACTTTATAATCTTTCTGGAAGTATCCGAATGTCGATTGCTGCAATAAAAAACAATTGTGCAATACGTTACCACATGCTAATCTCTGATCTTCCGCATTCTTGTTTGCGCTACTTCATTGACTCAACAAACTACTGTGACTCGGCACGTTAGCTTACTGACTTCGACCTTCAAACTGGGAAATATTTTGTTACAAACAATCAAAACTTACTTATTTAATGTGTGAAATTTAACTTCATATTTTTTTGAGTTCCTGATGGTAGGAACATACAGTTCTTACAACAAACGCTAGAGGCTCAGGTGGTGCAATTGTGCTGTTGCATTTTGAAGTGCAAGCAGCAAACAGTCGATATTTGACTTCCGGAAATGCATTTTTATGGGAAAACACAAATGCGTTTTCTCTTCGCGCTCAATTATAAAAGCAAATTTTGCTGTATGTTGTGACGGAATAATTAGTTTGGAACGTTTTACAATCAGATGTACAAAAATATGTGTCAGGGTGTTTTTCTTTTGAATTTATGGCGTTGAACACTGCGCCAAAATAGCCCAATGAACATGTATAATACGTGTTGAAGTTGCAGACTGCTCTTATAGGGCACGCATTTACGCGTATAATCAATGCTACGAAGCAGATAGAGTGAATCAGATGCTAATATATGCCTCATCACACTGTCAAAACCGACACCAAGAACGAAGCAATGAGTTATTGAACGAAGATCACGCGCTAGATTAGTAACAAACTGCGTTTCCGTCATCTGAATGTTATTGAAGCTTGAATAAACCCTACGCACTTTCTATTTGTTCTTTTAGAGCGCAGCCCTTAGGTGCCCGTCTGCGGGTTGAGCGGCGTCGCCCTCGGCGTAACCGCGCGTTGCATTATGGGACGTGTGATGCCACACACGACGTCACGAGGGTTACCCTCGTGAGGGTTACCCCTTAGGGTAACCCCCGTGAGGGTTACCGCCGTGGTTAACCCCTGTGAGGTTTACCGTCACGGGGGTAATGCTAACGGCGGTTACCATTACGATGGCAACCCTTATGAGGGTGACTAGTACAACCCTCACCCCCTGAGGGCATCCCTCATGAGGGTAACACCAGGAAGGTTACCCTCGTAAGGGTAACCCCGGTCAGGGTCACGAGGGTAACGTCGAAACGTTACCGTCGTGACGCCACGTGTGCCATCATTATGTGTGAAGTCATGTAACGTCCATGCATTTAAAATTGCCAATATCTCCGCTAAATTTAGCGGGGAAGGATTAGGCGCACACCCTTCTCTTCTTACCCTCCCATCCTCCTCTTGAAGGGCTGCGTAAAAATCGTTTATGTTTTTTGCTTGAAGTGATAGCTTGAATTGACATATCACACTGTACAGCATAGACCTGAGTCCCAATTTTCGCTAACTTAAACATCGATCGGTAATAAAAACAAACAAAAAAAAAACGAAGTAAATTACACTTTTATAATATGAATGAAGCTACATAGTACCCGTTACAAGTAAAGAAACTACGCTGATTTTTATTATTCCCTGGCGAGGAAAAAAATAACACGTACGTTTTCTCATAGGAACAAACAGGAAGACTAGAAAAGTAGGCTGTTTGCTGTCTGTTCCAGTCTGCAACCTGAAGTCCTGTAGACACTCTCTTCTCTCTCCATCTCCCTTCCATTCTCCCCTCCCATTCTCACCATACCTCCTCCCCCGTAGTGTCTCCTTTCCATCTACTTCCCTTAAAGCACCACCCCTACCTTTTCCATCCCTCCTAGCTCCTGCCTCCAATACCCTATCACTCCCTCCTCACTCCTCCATTTCCTCCTTCTCTCCATCTGCTCTATCATCCTATGACGCCGTTATCGATTTTTTTTTCTTTCTCCCCCCATGTCACCTGACACCAATTTCAGTTTCTACACCAAATCTAAAAGGGAAATTCACGTCTCGTGACACAACAAATACGGATTTTTTTTTCTCCTTGTCCTCCGCCTTCCGCTCTCTCCCTATTATTTCCTCCCCATTCCTTCCCCTCCTACAGGGCCTTCTGCTCCCCTCCTCTCCCTATGACTCCGTTTTCCGTCCTCCTCCCTGTTCACAAGACACGCCTATGCAGTTGGTGTGTGCCAGCGGAGCCCTGGCACTCGTGTTCTCAGTGAATTGACCCACGTTAATATCTTATGGCGGAAAACAACAAGGAAGGAAGAACGATTAAGACGGGAAAGAGCGATGTCTGATAACTGACGTGCATTACTTCTGAAAGAGAAGGAGAATAAAGATGTTCAGGGTGCTATCAAAATGCAATTGAACAAGAAAAGATTCTTCGGAAACGTACATTACACGTAATGTAAATACCATTTACATCATTTAAGGGAACTTACTGAGGGTACAAAGTTTTTAGTAAGGCATGACCAAAATTAAATAAATAATAAAAACAGCATTTTTGGAAAAAAAAGGCACGAAAGCACAAAAACAAAGATGATGATAAAAATAATATACATATATATATATAAATATATAACGGGCATGGTGGCGGGAGGCCGAAGGCGAGGGTATAAAACTGAGAACAAAAAAAACCCTTAGTGAAAACAGCAACAACGGACGATTTAATCTTCGACGTTTCGGCCGGAGTCCGGCCTTCGTCAGGAAGTTCTTCCTGACGAAGGCCGGACTCCGGCCGAAACGTCGAAGATTAAATCGTCCGTTGTTGCTGTTTTCACTAAGGGTTTTTTTTGTTCTCAGTTTTATATATATATATATATATATATATATATATATATATATATATATATATATATATATATATATATATATATAAAATTTGGCAACAGTATGAACTAAAAGGTCATAGCATGACGGAGTTCATGATAGCATGACACTAGGGCAATTGGGTACTTTGTGTGTCATGGCAATATCCGGCGCGCCGACGCAGGCATCGCCACTGGACAAAATGATGTGTGCCTAGTACAGCTCGGGAGTCCTTTTGCCCCTTAAGTGTTTTAAGATTCTGCTGTTTTTAAGCCTTCCCGAGAACTTACAATTCCTTAGATGTATGGTTAGGTGGCCCACTGGCGACGACTTCAGGGACAGGGGCTGTTCGCTTAGGCGGTCATTGACATGTTACCAGCCGAACGCTGTCGCAAAAGTGGTTTCATATATGTACCCTACACTGGCCACCAGTAAAATGCCCTTGACAAAACTACAGTTTTTTAATGACCTTTCGTGCATCACCGTTCGTTTATAGTCGGTGAACAGTCAATAACTGTGTAGATCAATGGTTCTCAACCATTGATGATTCGCGGACCCTTTGTTGATCGGCGGAGATGATGGAGGACCCCGTTCGTGCTGAGGGCTAGGAACGTTATAGGTTATTATGATAATTATTTAATAAGTGGCTATAACTTAGGGCTGGTGTGAAGAAAACTTATTGATATATACACGAGAGAGCTCACCAAAAATTGGAACGCTTCTTCTCAATCGGATAAAAAAACACTTTTATTGCCGGGCTTCACTAACGAGGCAGAGCTTCGCGGACCCCTAGAATGCCTTCGCGGACCCCAGAGGGTCTGCGGACCCCCATTTGAGAACCCCTGGTAGATGCTTCCCCCTTAGCACGCGATCGTGGCCTTTCGCTGGGCTTTGGTTGCGCGTGTGACGAAGTGCTACTCCGATTTTGTGCCACGCACTCGATCGATGAAGATATCGTGAAGAATCCCGTCCAGGAGCCTTATATTGTGTAAACATGGAGTTCTGTGAAAAGCGAGCTTAAGAAAGCGCTGGTTATAGTTCAATATACTCAATAATGCCGTACACACGGCTATCCTCAGACTGCAGAGGCAACGTCTGTTCGAGCTGATAATTGCTTCACTCAACTGAGGAGTTAGAAAGTTTACGGCATTTCATTTCCTAAAAAAACTAGCCTGTTTTCTATCGTAGGAAGCACTAAATCAACGTGCTTGTAGAATACGGCATATCATGCGAATTTCCATGAAACCGCTGGCACGAGGTTTAGAAGCAAAAGCTACAAAATGCATTTCGTCTGAGAGCTTTTTTTCAGGTTTATCCCGACACGTAGGTGGCATAAAAAAATAAAAAAAAACACACCAAAGATATTTAAGACTGCTTACATGTAGGAATGCGAAGGCATTCCTACACGTCTTCCTTTTTGCACACGGCGCTCCTGCGGTGACATCCGGCTCCTCCACTACGCTAACGCGGTGGTCCCACCGGCTTCATGGCTTCCCTGATCAAGCATCTTCGTTGCTGTGCTTTTCTATTTTTTTTTTATTTCTGAGGTACGTCCGCTTTGACCTTGAGTGGCGCGTCCTTGATGTATTTTTACGCCCATCTTTCGGGCACAATGACGAAGCCGCCTCTTAGTGTTATGAGATATATAACGCTTTCGCCTTAATAACAATGGACCCGATATTTAAATAGAGATATTGAATATCCTTTTAAACAAAACTCCAACTTTACCTTCTTATTCCAATATTGTAACTTATCTGTACTTTTCTTCAAATTAAAAAAAAAATAGTCTTTATATTACGAAACTATGTGGCATTGCACATGGCCGTATCACAGACTCCACCAGAATTGAAACTTGAGAAAAATGTCTATGTATATTGGTTTCCTATTTTCAGAAAGTCATCTAAAAGAAGTCAAACAAATTCAACATGAACCCTTTTTTATACTTTTATATGATAGAAACTTCTACCAAAACGCAAAACCCGGTTAACGTGCCGAGGTAAAATGCATCCACTACGTAGAAATGAAGTCCCATTTTTCCTCTTACAAAATCGTTTGGACTTCAGAGAGGTACCCGTCTTTTTATAAATTGATGTTTTAGGAGGAAGAAACATTTATGAAACTTCTGGGTTGGCGCTAGTGCGTTAGATGGAAGGGAGTTACGAATAGCCCGTTACTTTTTGGTAACAGGCCACCAAACCTTTTTTATTTTTTTATGTTTAACAAGACTAACTAATAGCATAGTTGGGTTACTTATTTCGACGAACGTAGTTTCAAGATATTTCGAGGAACTTTACATGATTATTTTATATTTCGTTACTGTTATGTTATTGAAGGTATGCGTAGAACGCAAGAACTTGTAACTTGGCACCTAAAACCAAAAAATTAATTGAATGCTTGTTTTGTAATTTCTGAGGTGAAGATGTTTCTAGTTTAAATACGTTACTTGATACGTGTTCTTAAAACGTATAAAACATGCGTTTCATTTTTTTCCTTCGCGTTCAGGGCCCCAAGTAATGCCTTCTTGTACTCGTTTCACGTACGTTCAAAGTCAAGATCGTAAAAAGGATAAGGTAATTATGTTATATTTATGTATGCGCATTATGCACCTTGATATAAGGCGTTTTTGCACAGCTGTTACGCCAAAACAGTAAAAATGTTTGAGTCATAAATAAAATGTAACACGAATGTAACTTTATTTACTTTTTATTGGTAAAGGTAACCTGTTCCTAAAAAGTCATTTTATTACATCATTCCGATGACAACGACAAAGATACCTGATACTGGGCCGCCGCCTTTGCGCATGCATCGTAATGTTACCGTGTATCGTTATCAAGGATATCGAAGCTATCGAAACAATCTACTAAAACTTTTTATTAAGCAAGGTAACATAGGTAGGCAACACGTCCCATTTCTTTGCAGGTAGCGAGTAATCTATTTCTTTACTTCTTTCCAAAACGCGTACAACACTGTGAAGCACATTACATGCATTTCCTCGATCAACTCCCTTTTCTACTAGCATATATACCCCTTTACTAAAAGGAAGCTTACAACTATCTCCTTGCATTACGGAAGCCGTTTAGGCAAGTCAGGTGAATTAATCGTTGTACTACGTAATAGGAATAATAAACTTGTGATGTATAGAAAAAATACACAGGAATGAAGGTTCAGCATTGAGCAGGCTACTTACCATCTAAGTAACCTGACGCAGCGAGCAGTACGACCGAAAGGGGCAAGATCACCATCCTGATCATGTCTAATATTCAAGTATATCGAAGAGCTAAAGGTTAGTACCACCTGAAAAGCAAAACGTCTTATAGCCCTCTTCACAATTAAAGATGAAATGGCTAAACTTCGAGTGCTCATCACGAGCTATAGCGTTGTGCAAAAAGCTCGTAACACGGTTTTATGCTTTTCTTGTAAATATATTGAAGAGACTTCACAATATTTCATACACTATGCATTGGTGCCTCATCAGTCCTAAAAACAACGAACACAGTTATATATTGTTTAAGCATTCCAGTTTTTTTACATATTTTGCAATCTTCAAGCGTGAAGGGTGCAAAGTCTGGAAGTTTGCAGCGCTTCCTGGAAGTTGGGCTTTCCTCACGCTAAGCGATATGACCACGCCATTTATCCCATATTTACTATGTAGCGCAAAGACAACGCATTGACGAGACAGAGATTAGAAGAATGCTTTCCTATCTCAGCGCTACATTGTAAATATGCAAAATCAACTAGCCTAGCCTCTCCTTTTAATAAATGTATCCGAGTACCGAGCAGCCGAATAGCGCCAATATGAAAAGCATGTTTTATCCGAGTTCCACATGTATATCATCTGATACAGCCCGCATTCGCGTTGTCTTTCTACACGGCTTTTTTGGAAGGCGACTTTTAGAGAAGTGTATAATATCAGATGCACCCTTCATTTTAGTGTGAAAATGAAGACAGTGATTTTTAATTGAGAATAAACTCTACGTTATGGTATAATCGTGCTGCTGCCATCTAGAGGCTTTTGTTTCTTCTTGTAACTGATGCGCACTCAATCCATACCTTTGGTTTTTTTTTAAATTCTGTATTGTTTAAAGATTGTTCCTAATAACCTTTTTTTCAAAGTTTCTGTAATTTGTTTAAAAATACCTCTATACGATAATATTCAAATACATTATTGATGTTCAAAATATACAGTTTTGTTGATTTTAATTTATTAATACACAATTTTAGACGAAGGTGAGAGTTAGACCAGTTACTTCTGAGCTAGGCATTCATAAGGATCGGCGGACTTTGGAAGTGAGAGTGATATCCACGCCAAGCTAGATAATTAGCTACGTTTCGTTAATACACCTTTAATGTAGTATTTGTCTTATGTTGGAAGTGACTACTAACGACAATTACTATAATCGGCCACACGAAGCAAAACAGTTGCATAATATTTAATTGCGAAGCGTGCAGAAAGCGCAAGGCAAGCCCTGCCCAGATTGACGCCAAGAGTGGAGTAATCGTTTCTGTTACATCGTCACTTGGGTCGTCAGCACGCCTACCGATGACACGCTGCCGGTATAGCAACGACATAATTGAAACGACTGCGTCGCTCTTCCAAGCGTCATTGTGAGCAGAGATGCGAAAATTGATCAAATAATATGTAAAGGAACTTTTGAGATATATATTAACAAGCGTTCACGGTTTCAGACGATGTAAGTATTGAGCGCAAAAAGACCGCCGCAAGCACTGCCCAAAATGACGGTTGGGAGTGACGTCGTCGTTTTAATTATGCTGTCAATATCTCGGCAGCGTGTCATTGGTAGTTCAACGGAAGAAGCAAGTAACAACGCAACTGAAACAACTACTTCAACGCTAAAGAAATTTGAGAAAATGTAATTTCTCCGTTACATTTTCGCAAATTAATCGGTCTTACCTTTATTAGTAATTGCCTCACAACAGTAATTGCAACAAAACACCTAATACTAATAGTTAAAAAGTTTAAATACGGATTTAGGTAGTTTGTCATCTTGCCGTGACGATTATGCCATCCTTTGGTGTCAACCACATACATGGCAAAGGAGGCATTTGTCAAACTCTCACCTCTTCGAAAAAAAAACTTTGAATTAAAATTGCACCACCTGTATGCTCTAGAATGTTAATTATTTATTCATTTGGCGTGCTACTGTTGCGAGTAAAATGTTGTGGATAATGCGAAAATATTTATAAGTTGAGAATGATCCAACTACTCATCCAATGTGCATTTGCATTTTTCTTTCGGATAATCATCAGATCATAGCAAAGCCGTAATCTGTAATTCTTATTGGCCGAATAAAGATACTGTTAATGTAAAATTAAATAAAAAGTGATTTAAAACCCCACTTTTTTTAATATCGCTCCCGGCAAAGATTTTTGTTCTTGGCGCTCCAAGCCACTGCAGCATATGTAGCAGCTTTCACATAATTCTGTTCTTGTCAACACCGCAACATAACGAATACCAGAGTTGTCGTGTAGGAAATTTATGAGTTTTTAGATCCAAGTACACTTTTCTGAATGTATGCATATAATGCAGACAAATTAAGTAATAAATGGAGCGATTAGGCCTGAAAATCGTCGCGCCATCTAGTACTGTTCTTCGCCGACGTTTCTTGCGTTTTAAATATAAAGAAATGACTATTTGTTACAAGACTTATACAGCTTTGCCAAAGTGAACGTGCTGTTGAAAACTAACAATGGACACCACTGGCATGAAACATTTAGTCTGGAGCGAAAAGAAGACGAGGAGGACGGGGAATCGCCAGCGCGAGGGAACATACAGTCGGATAAATCGTTCAACACAAGCCGGTTGAGCTGTGATTGTTTCTCGACCTCAATGTCATCAACGAATATCTAGCGAATGAGCGCCTCAAATCGCAACAATTACTACGTGCAATTTGAATAGATCAAGTTGAACGTAGAGAGCGAGCTTACCAAATACTTCTCCACTTTCTGCAAGTTAAAGTACCACTCTACATTCTAAGGCGTGTGCAACTCTTCTTATAGCCAGCTTCAGCTCACGTCACCACCAATAATAAGCGCTATAAAAAAACCTAAAAAAGATTAAGAAAAATAAACACAAAAATATAGAGAGGGAACACTTGGCTTGCAAACCTGACGCTCATACAAAGTTTTTGAAAAACTAAAAAACAACAAAAACAAAAAAAACAGATGTTGAATCTGGATTTTTCTTCTTTTTTGTGCTTATTCTTGACTCGAAGGGTCTTCCAGACTGGTATATTCCACTCGGAGAACAAAGATTGCCAAGAAAGCAGTTTTTACACTTCATTCTTGTTCATAAACTGTTCAATTGAAAATTTGGCGATTCCATGCAAAACCCAGGTTCAGAAACGGCTCCGAGGTGTTTGGTTGTTAAGAGGGGTCGCTACTTTTTCTTTTAGTGACCATACTCGCCTCTCTTAATAAAAAAAAAATAGGTAAAACATGTCTTACAATGGTTAAACCATATTCCTTTTGCTTTCCTTTTATTTAAATCAAAAACACCTTATTGGCTAGAGGAAAAACCAAGATTCTCGTCTGCCAGAATCCTGGTACCTGGTTCAGCGCTCAGCAGAAACAAAATATAAGACAAACACTACTCCGAAAGTACTTTAGCATATCAACTCCGCAATGGACGCAGATGTGCGCAGACGAACGAATGGCGGACAAACTGCAGATCGATACATTCGTTTTATAATATTGAAAGTGCCCTGCGTTTCTTCTCTACGTCTTATAAGAACAATAGATAATGTTGATTGAGTACGCTAAGAGCACACGCTTCGTCTCACTGAACTATGCACCCTTACGCTTATTTATTTTGAGGTAAGTTTTTTAAACAGATCTAAGAAATGAGTCTCGTAATGGGCGATAACGGAATTTCACATAAATGAATATCAAACATCTGTCCGTGAGGCTGCCTCATTTTTTTGAAGCAAACTACATCATTTACTTCTCCCCTTGCTACCGAGATAATTTTCAATTATTTAAAACACGTGTATGTTGCAATATGCCCTGGAAGTTGGGAACTCCTGTGCTCGCCTCCTGGTTTTTCAGCATAAGTCCGACATGCATCCCGTTTTTTTCCGGCAAGAAATATTCAAATATAAAATTTCTAGGAAAAGTATACCCCAAATAGTGACACTAACGTTAAACATTTATAGTTATAAACGAATACTGCTCTTCTAATTTACCATGCCATTACCAAAACAATTCCCGTACCAGGCGCACCAGGGTACAATTGTACGTCTGCGCATTTGCGTACCTGTACCAGGCGGCAGCTAACAAAATCGCACCTGCATGAAGCGCAAGCCAGGAGACAAAGGCTTACGGACGCATGAAGCCTGCATGACAAGACAATGTAGAAAACGCTGAAAAAGGTTTCTACATTAGATAGCTACTTTCATAACCCTATAATTTGCTGATTTCAACGTATTTTTCATCTGTTTTCACTATCAGTAACGGCCACCGTGAAAGCTTATATTGAAATGAGCGAAGCTAGCCGAATGGCCATGGGCCCGGATGGTTTGCAATAACTTCTATAATGCATCTAATCCAACACACAGTGATTGATGGATTTCTGTATGGTTGATTTTAATTGACCAGCCCAGTCTAGAATTGACAAGAGGTCACGTGCAGTCTCAAGAGGCCAATAATCACCTGCGGCACTAGTGTTGATGGCGTTTCCAAAATCTTTTTTTATCCAATGTTTGTTTTGTATTTTAAATATAATTTCATGAAATAAGAGATCCTCGAAAACATGATAGCAAGATGTATTAGATCACTAGCCCGATAACAAGATATCGCGAGATAACGAGGTGTAATTGCAAGAAAATAATTCAAACTTAGTAAAGACCTATAGCAAAAACACTATAGCTTTGCCAATACTGGAAACCCCACCGAAAACCCGTACGCGCGACGGCGAACGTGACAGTGGCGCCTCCAGCGGACTCGGAGTTTACAGAAGCTGACGACGCAATAAAAAAGTATAGTCTCCGCGACGCCCTCGAGCTTTATCAGCCCCGTTTCGTCACCCCAGCCACTTAAAGGGGCCTGCAATGATATTTAAGCGTCTACCTTTTTTGCGGTTTCCACGTCCCTTGGGGCTCGGGCAAGCCAGCGGGCACGGAGAGAGTAACTAACTATCAGTGCGTCATATTTTAACCGGACGACGCGGAAACCTCCTCCACCGACGAGGGCGACCCGCGGTACCGAAAGCGCGCAAAATGTGACGTTTTTGGTC